CTTACTTGATCGCATATGTGTTGTTCTGTGTGAAATTTGCCTCTGACTTATAGTTGACTAAATTATATTGCATATGTTCGTGTACATTTTCTCACTTGGAAGAGTGGATTTGGATGTTATTAACCATCACCATCGTTTAGGTAGAAAAAGAAAATAACTAATAGTTTAATGTTTTAATACATAAATGATCAACTAATATGAGACGGAAAGAGTAGCGTAAATGTAAGATTCACTTCTCACCAAGAATCCTCCTTTCTTATTATTTTCCTTTTAGAGGTTAATAATTATTATGTATCCCTAGAATAATTTATTGAAATAGTAGATTTGAAAGAAAGCAATTATTCTCTTCTTCCTATGCGGGACTTTTAGAACAAAACTAATTTGACAAAAACCACAATTTATTGATTTTTAGGTGGAATTATATCAATAAGGAACTATGCTTATAATATTAATCTAAGATCATTAGGGGTCGTTTGGTAGAGTGTATGAGGTAAAATAATGCATGCATTAGGTGTGTGTATTAGTAATACCTTGTTTGGTACACTTTTTCATGTCATGTATAACTAATGCAAGCATTAGTTATACACTATATTGTGTATTACTAATACCAAGAAATCCTAGATATTAGTAATACATAGCGTTTTAATACTTGCATTAGATTATACAATTACAAAACTACCCTCAAAGCCTTTTAAAAAAACATCTTCATTTTCCATGGTACTGTGTTTAGAAACCTTTCATCTTCTATGTGGCTGCTAACACTACAAGAAAAGTGTGAATTACATGAGGATTTTCCTGGGGATTAGTATGAAAATCCGTAGGAAACTTATTTTTCTGCAAATTTTCATACTAATCCCCAGGGAAATCCCCATGTAATTCACATTTTTCTTGTAGTGTAAACCTTTAAAAAAAAACATCTCCGTTATTTATAAATTTGATTGTTGTAATACTTTTTTGTATTTCAATTGCACTAAAAAATAGGATCTGTGGCTGCTAAAGCATATGCCCAGACTCCTAATATATATAAAGTGCATATACTGATTTTAATAGGGTACCGCTTTGCAGTTAGGAATTATCTCAGGTCTATGCTGCCTGTATCTCCCTTACATTCCATCAGTTTTTATTTTTTATTTTTGGACTCGTTTTATCTCAAAATATATATAAAGCACTACTAATGCATGCATTACTAACACACCCTATTTTACATTATTCTTATACACTCTGCCAAACGATCCCTATTGTTACTTGAACACATGGATTCATCATCTGAACAATTGAAACAATTAATACTTGTGTGAACCTCTTGTTATTTCGAGTGATGTGTCAGAATCTTTAGCCAACTAAGACTAGCGTTAAATTTTTGGCAAGTCTCAAGAAGTGTAATTAATACTTAATAAAATAATCTCATCCTTGAGATTCAAGAACTTGTTTGGTCTGAATAGGTTTTAATCATTAAGATCTAGAACAAAGTCTTAATATTAGTAAGAGGTATTTTTGTGTGAATAGTTTTCTTTGAGGTTCGAGAAATGGAATAGATATGGACTACAAGTTGATATTCGCCATTAGGAAATTCACACGAAAAGGAACGAGGAATTCTCAATGAAAAAAGCGCTCTCTAAATCTGTTTAGTATTTGCCATGAGGTTCTTACCATAATTGAATTTTCCTTTTAGGAAAAGGTAAACACAGTCTCCATATTTGTCTAGTTCTTTTTCTTGTACGAAAAAAATTATGACTCTATAAATAGATGTTTATTCATTCTAGCTTGGTAGCATTCATAATGTAGTCTTAGGGGGCTTTGAGAGTTTTGTGTATTGTGTGAAGCTAGGGGAAGAATGTGTGAGACACAAGTATTACTTTAACACTTGTGTGAACCTCTTTGTATTCCGAGTGAATTGTGTGAGGTCATTCTTCTCTAGATTTTGAACTTTCTTTTATATAGTGATTTTTTCATCTCCTCTTGTGGATGTAGACCGGTTGACCGAACCACGATAAATGTTTGTGTCTTTTTGTATATTTCTCGTTTGTCTTATTACTCATCGTCTTTCGAGGTTTGCTTTGCTAACTTTTGCATGACACCTAATTATTTCAGTCCCAACAAGTGATATCAGAGTCAAGTTCAATGGTTTAATGATCCAATGGTTGAACCAGGTCAAAAATAAGTGTTCATCTTGACGGGTTTAGTTCTACCATAACATATTTGATAGTAATGAAGATTTTTGTTGGAGAAATATTTTCAAAGATGTTTTTTGTGTTGAGATATATATATATATATAGAGAGAGAGAGAGAGAGAGAGAGAGAGAGAGAGAGAGAGAGAGGGAGATATTTTGCAGAGGAGATGCATAGTTATTGAAGATTATGTGAAGAAGGTGGAACAAATTTATTTTGTCAGAAATTTAGGCCAATGGAGATATTTGTTTAGTATTTGTCATGAGTTTCTTACCATAATTGAGTTTTTTTCTTTTAGAAAAAGGAAAACACAAAGTTTCCATATTTGGCTAGTTCTTTTTCTTGTAGGAAAATGTTTATGACTCTAAAATTATATGTGTATTCCTTCTAGCCTAATAGCATTCACAATGTAGTCCTAGGGGGCTTAGAGAGTTTTGTGTATTGCGTGTAGCTAGGGGAGAATGTGTGAGACACAAGTGTTACTTTAACACTTCCGTAAACCTCTTTGTTTTTACATTGAATTGTGTGGGGTTATTCCTCTCTATATTTTGTACTTTCTTTTATATAGTGAATTGCTCATATCCTCTTTTGGATGTAGGTCGGTTGTTCAAACGACGTTAAATATTTGTGTCTTTTGGTATATTTTTTGTTTGTTTTATTACTCACAGTCTTTCAAAGTTTGCTTTGCTAGCTTTTGCATGATACCTAATTATTTCAGTCCCAACAAAACCAAACGTGAAAGTTGTTTTCCAGCAGGCAACTTTTCTAGTAGCTCTACTCTCGACTTGGATAATATATCCAAAAAGGTACGCTTTCGGTCATTCCACATGCTGCCTATGTAGAGACATGTTTATCTAAAGTGGATTCTCTTTTTTGCAGTAGGTATTGAACCTGTTATGCCCATTGACTAAGAAGCTAGGGGTGGACACAACAACTACATGGACCTCTTCCTTTCATTGGCCATCACCATTAGTCGTCTTTGTTATCACAATGACCACCACCATTACCGTCATCAAATATCTCTGTCATCACAATTACCATTCTTATCAACCACTACTATATATCAAGCATTTGCTATATTTATGTTTTTTATCGACATAAACAATGGGTTAACATGATATAATTTATTAGTAGTTTTATATATTTTTCCCATAATAAAGGAAACAATCACTTATACATTCTTTGAGATCATTTAGTGTAAAATCAGGAGTGGAATCATAACTAGGGTTATAGCTTAGGATCAATTCACCTTCTTAATTAATGGGATAATTTACTTAGCTAAATTTGAGTGAAAAGAAGAAGAAATTAATTAATTTAATTCGTTTACGTTCCAATGGGGTGTGCAATACCCATAAATTTGTCATGTCGTTATTAGGTGTTCATGAGATGCATATATTTCAAGCAAAAGTGTCTATCTGATTACTAGACAAGTTTAGCCGTCCAATTTACAAATTCTGCCAAATTTGAGGGACTATCTAGATATTATTAAGAAAATCTATCTTATTTAATATAATATTTAAAATAGATAACTTTGTAATTAGTGTTCGCTAGATCTTCATATTTTCTCCAACCATTATAAATTCTCAGTGCTCTCTCTATATAAATTCATCAGGATAAAAATAAACAAGACAAGATATCATACATAAAAAATATCCAAAAGAGTTTTCTTTAAATATGTGTAATCTTTTTTAAATAGCATATCCCTTAAGAAGCTATGTAGTTTTATCACAATGTCCTTCTTTAATTGTTTTTCTTTAATTAATAAAAAGGTGTGTTATATATATCTTCAATTGATGATAAGCCCACTTATATACAAATAAAGTAATGCAAGTGAAACTCTGTAAAGAATCCTATGAAGGTTCTAGCAGAGAAATTATATTTAAAAAGGAGGGTAATAGCTAATGTGAAACAATTAGGGTTGTAAAATAAAAAATAAATCAAAATAATAATAATTAGGGTTGCAAAGCAACACCCTCTATTATTGAAGTTGAAGTTGTAATTCGTAGGATTATTATATAATTGTAATAATGCCTAGCTTTTTGTAACAAGAAGAGAAGTGTATCATCATTTGGAGAGTTGTTAGAACAATTATAGTTAACATTTGAGTTAAAGTACTAAAATTAATCTCTTAAATTATAAAGGTGTAATTTGAAATCATTCGTTGAAGTTAGTATAGATTGATTGATAAGGAGTTGTTTATAGTCTTTTGAGCAAAGATATTTTCATTGTAAGCCCTTTCTTACTTAATTAGCACTCCTTCGTTACTTTTTACTTAGTAGGACATACGAATTGAGGTTAGCTTATCGCAATCTAGTATATACATTCAATTATTAGAAAATAAAATAATAATAATAAAATTATTATTAAATTTAAGTTTTACTGTCTGGATTTATCATGACACATATAATGTCCACTTGGGCAAATTTATTATTTAAAACACAATAATAATAATATATTCAATGTAATTTCATAATTGACATTTGAGAAGAAAAAATATATATGCTAACCCTTGATTAAAAAATTAAAATTAACCAACCAAAACTAAAATAAATATTTATATAAGGTTGTGTAGTGAGAACAATTAGATATACTGGTTTTAATTCAACTATGCATTAAAAAGAACAATAAGTTGCTGTGGTGTAGTGGTTATCACGTTAGTCTTACACACTAAAGGTCCCCAGTTCGATCCTGGGCAGCAACATATATGTAAAAAGTTTTACTTTTTTTTTGATATGTCGACGAAAACGTGTTTATCCTTTTATTTGTCGGCGGCATGTCGACGAAAACGTGTTTCTCCTCTTTATTGTTTTCACCATGACCTCTTCACTACTATATTTACATTACATGCTTGTTCTATCGGAAACAACTCTACCTTCACAAGGTAGGGTAAGACTGCATAAACGTCACCCTCCCCATAGTACGTAAAAAGAATATGAGACAGCTGCAGGATCATGGAAAGATCAAATTTTCTCTTTATTTCATTATTGCAATTACTCCATGTCAAAATCCAAATACATTCTATAGGCATTTCTATCTGAAGAGTAATAGCCCTCCACAAGAGTATCCACTTGGAAACCGAGTTTCTTGTATAGCTGCATAGCTGCAGTCCTTGTAGGATCTACATGAAGCGATATCCGATGAACGTTTCTTGTTCTGCATTTCTGCACTGCTGCCTCCAGTAATTTTTCTCCATGGCCTTGTCCCCTGTAGTTCTCTTTCACTGATGTATTCCACAGGAACGATGCATCAGTAAACAAAACGAAAAATTTTAAATGACAAAAGATAAGGAATATTGTAAATGAATCTCTTAACCCCTCGTTTTTCAACTTGTGTTGATTCGCTCAGGCCAGAGAACAACAAGAGAGAGACAGGCATAAACATCACGATGAAAAACTCATAACCACATAGAGAACGAAAGCAATTCTTTTGAAAAATAAACATCACATGAAAGATGGTTCTCTCTTCTATGTAATGACGGACAATGCTTCACTGACTTATCGGGAATATTTACTAATAATATCAATTCACCTTCTGCCTTTCCCTATTGCGATTCAATATGATGACGATCAGAGAAAGATATAACTAAACTCTCCTGCAAAATTCCTTTAAAACAACTGCTAGCTATTTCAAGGTTCGTTGTTTCCGCAATAGTAACATATCAGCTTTGCTCGGAGGGGAAAACTACATAACACCACTCTAATTTAGAAATGCTGCACTTTCATCCAATCCAGCTACAGAGAAAAACGTTGAAAGAGCAGAAGCAATTTCTCCTACCTCTCTATTCATAGAGATCAAAACTTGTTCGGCAAATGCATTCATGCATATTCTTCTTTAAAAGACAACTTTTTGTAGATGAACTGCTCCCAAATAAGTATTTTTATCTTTTGAATGCTCAAGTTATAGTCACATTCACACTCTTGACTGCTCTTTTTCCTACGAAAACATTATCAAAGAGTCACATTTGAGTTCCTCACGATTATAACCTCGTATATTAAATCAAATTGGTCCTAGTCACATTCGGAAATAGTCTCTCTACTTTCACAACTAGGGATAAGACCGCGTACAGACTAACCTCTCCAAACCCCACTTGTCTACGCGGTCCTAGTCACACTCACATTGGGAAATTGTCTCTCTACTTTCACAGGTAGGGATAAGACTGCGTACACACTACCCTCTCCAGACCCCACTTGTCTACACAGTCCTAGTCACACTCACATTGGGAAATAGTCTCTCTACTTTCACAGGTAGGGATAAGACTGCGTACACACTACCCTCTCCAGACCTTACTTGTCTACGCAGTCCTAATCACACTCACATTGGGAAATAGTCTCTCTACTTTCACAGGTAGGGATGGATAAGACTGCCTACACACTATCCTCTCTCCAAACCCGACTTATCTACACAGAGTATGTTGTTGTTCCAATAAACAATATTAGATATCAGCTTAGACTTCAATCCAAGAATACAACTACAATAATCAGAATAAATTCAAGAATAAGACCAATTATTAAAAGGAAAATCAAAGCAAAACAGAAAATTATGAAAAGGGTATTTTTTGTTCAGACCTGCTAATTTAGTGATACAAGCAGAGAGTGAAGAAGGCCAAGAATACATAACATAACCAGCAATATCTTCACCTAATTGAGTGTAGAGTAACCCAGAATTCTTCTTTTTCAGTTCCTCATCAAAAGATCGAGCTAAAGATTCATGTTTGGGGAAAATCTTCTTCTCTATTCTCACTATATCGTCAACTACCTTAACCCAATTTGCTGAATTTCTCTGCAATTCAACTATCTCTGCCATTTCTTCGTTTTCATATTTCTCTGTTTTTGCTGCTGTATTTAGGTTAACAAGAATCTACTGGGGTCATTATTGGAAAGAAAAATAGTTCCTCTGTTATTTTAAAAGTTTTTACTTTATTTTTTTTAACTATAAAGTTCTTATATATTTTTAACGTTTTAATTATTAGAAACTATTATGTACATTGTTTTTATTTTACATGGTTTATTAATATATATAGTATAAATTTGCATTCATGTATTAATTAACTTATCAATTAATCAATAGTAAAAATTCTCTCTGATTTTCTGATTATTTATGGCCAGTTTTTTTTTGTATGTGTGCGTCTCTAAGCTCGTAAGTGAAAGTAAATCAATTTTTTAATTGTTAATTTATGCCCAACTTCTTTATGTATGTGTGCGTTTCTAAGCTCGTAAGTGAAAGTAAATCGAGTCTCACGATATCATCTGTCTTTGTCATACTCGTCTGGTTGAACAAGGACTAATACTAGTTGTTGAGCAAAATTAATTTATAAATACTCTTAACAAGGTGTGATATTATTTGTTTTGGGTAAAGTCTTTGTAAGGCTTCACACTATTAAGAGATTCTACACTTTATATGTAATTTTTCAATCTTTTCAGCTATCAATGTGGGATTTTATTTACCCAACTAACAATTTTGTTATTTGTTCTTACATTTTGGTGTTAGCTTTGGCCTTTGTGTACTCCATCATAGGTTGAGGAAAGGGATCATATATAATTGGAAAAATACAAATCAGAATGGTATTTTTGTTAGTAATCCAAGGGATTGGTTTACTTTTGGACATGTTATTTTTTTGGTTCTACTTAAGGTTAGTAAGGTCATTTCAATATTATTTTCTTCCTACTTCAATCAACAGCAACTTCTATTTTTCCTTATATGACAACGCAATTCAATCTAGCTACGTTGTTATGTTAACCAACCCCAAAAACAGGACACCATATCTAGATTGATAAGCTTAAGTAAGTTTCGATATGACTCATTTATACTTCAATTAATCTAAAGTAAAACTTATCCATATGTATGATCCAGCCAAATTATTTTATCAATATAATCGAAATATTAAAAACATATTTAGTAATTATGGATATCATAGGTATAGATATGTATATATATTATACTAAAATATACAAAACCTATACAATTATGACTATTTGTAAATTAGATTAATCAAAGACATTGAACTGTAATTATTCCAATCTATACTTTAAACCCTTTTCACTTCAAAGCACTATCCCAATTCTAAACAGTTTGAGACATGGTAAAAAAAAATAATTGATTTTTTTTTTTTTAAGATGGGGTGTAGTTAGGTGGAATTTTCTTGGTTTTGTTCAAATAAGTCTGCCTTTTGAAGCATAGGCATACTTGTTTCATCTTTATATATATATATATAATAATGATGTTCTGGATAACTTTTACACCTTAACTTGATTAATTATGTGAGATATCTGTCATTTTTCATAGCAATATTATATTTAACTATATTCGCCCAAACTAAAACAGGTAGAAATAACATTTGAATCTGTCAAACTGCAATAATGAATTATATATGGTGGAAGATTCTTTGGGGCCCAACTGGCCCCACAGCTAATATTTTAACGGACGTCCATGAAAAGTTTTAACAAAATCACGTCGAAATTCTAGATCACCAAAAATTCATGGACTATATAGCACACGATAATCAGCAAAATGGGGGGGGGGGTTACTTGCTCAAGGGCTCGTCTGACCTTGAAAATGGGCTGGTTTGCCCGTGGGGACCAATTGGCTCTATAACTAAGGTCTTAACGGACGTCCATGAAAAGTTATTGCAAAAAATCACGTTGGAGTTCCATATCACCAAAAATCCATGGACTATAGCACATGAAAATTGGCAAAATAAAGGGTTTACCTACTCTGGGCTCGTTTGACCTTGAAAATGGGTTGGTTTGCCCGTGGGAACCAGCCGGCTCCATAGCTAAGGTTTTAACGGAAAACCATGAAATTTTTTGGCAAAAGTCACGTCGGAATTGCGGATCACCAAAAATCCATGGACTATAGTACACGAAAATCGGCAAAATGGGGGGGTTTACCTACTCTGGGGATTGTTTGACCTTGAAAATTTCCCGATTTGCCCGTGTGGACCAACTGGCACCACAGCTAAGGTTTTAATGGACGACCATGAAATTTTTTGGCAAAAGTCACGTCGGAATTGCGGATCACCAAAAGTTCATGGACTATAGTACACGAAAATTGACAAAATAGGGGGTTTACCTACTCTGGGGATCGTTTGACCTTGAAAATTGTCCGGTTTGCCCGTGTGGACCAACTGGCTCTATAGCTAAGGTCTTAACGGACGTATACAGAAAATTTTGGCAAAAATCACGTCAAAATTTCGGATCACCAAAAATGCATGGTCTATAACACACGAAAATCGGTAAAATGAGGGTTTACCTGCTCTGGGGATCATTTGACCTTGAAAATGGGTCGGTTTACTCGTGGGGACCAACTGGCTCTATGCTAAGGTCTTAACGGACGTCTATGAAATTTTTTAGCAAAAATCACGTCGAAATTTCGGATCACCAAAATCCTATGGACTATAGCACACAAAAATCGGCAAAATAGGGGGTTTACCTGCTCTAGGCTCGTTTGACCTTGAAAATGGGCCGATTTTCCCGTGGGGACCAACTGGCTCCATAGCTAAGGACTTCACGGACGTCCTTGACAAATTTTGGCAAAAATCACGTCGGAATTCCGTATCACCAAAAATTTACGGACCATAGCACACGAAAATAGGCAAAATGGGGGGTTTACCTGCTCTGGGCTCATTTGACCTTGAAAATGGGCCGGTTTGCTCGTGGGGACCAACTGGCTGCATAGCTAAGGTCTTAACGGATGTCCATGAAAATTTTTGGTAAAAATCACGTAGGAATTCCGGATCACAAAAAATCCATGGATTATAGCACATGAAAATCGGCAAAATGGGGGGTTTTACCTGCTCTGGGGTTCATTTAACCTTGAAAATGGGCCAATTTTCCCGTGGGGACCAACTGGCTCTATAGGTAAGGCTTAATGGACGTCCATGAATTTTTTTTGTAAAAATCATGTCAAAATTCTGTATCTCCAAAAATCCATGGACTATAGCACACAAAAATCAGCAAAATGGGCGGTTTACCTGCTCTGGGAATCGTTTGAACTTGAAAATGGGCCGGTTTACCCATGGGGATCAACTGTCTTCATAGCTAAGGTCTTAACGGACGTCTTTAAAAATTTTGGCAAAATTACGTCGAAATTCCAGATCATCAAAAATCCATGGATTATAGCACAAGAAAATGGGTAAAATGGGTTGGTTTGCCCGTGGGGACCAACTGGCTCCATAGCTAAGGTCTTAACGGACGTCCATGAAATTTTTTAGAAAAAATCATGTCGAAATTCTGGATCACCAAAAATTGATGGACTAGCACACAAAAATTGGCAAAATGGGGGGTTTACCTACTCTGGGGATCGTTTGACCTTGTAACTGGGCCAATTTTCCTGTGGGACCAACTGGCTCCATAACTAAGGTCTTAACGGACGTCCATGGAAATTTTTGGAAAAAATCACATCAGAATTCCGGATCACCAAAAATTCATGGATTATAGCTCACGAAAATTGGCAAAATGGGGGGTTTACCTGCTCTTGGGCTCATTTGACGTTGAAAATGAGCCGGTTTGCTCGTGGGGACCAACTGGCTCCATAGCTAAGGTCTTAACGGACGTCCATAAATTTTTTTGGCAAAAATCACGTCGGAATTCCGGATCACATTCATGACTATTTGTAAATTAGATTGATCAAAGACATTGAACTGTAATTATTCCAATCTATTCTTTAAACCTTTTTCACTTCAAAGTACTATCCCAATTCTAAACAGGTTGAGACCTAGTAAAAAAAATGATTTTTTTTAAAGATGGGGTGTAGTTAGGTGGAATTTTCTTGGTTTTGTTCAAATAAGTCTGCCTTTTGAAGCATCGGCTATTCTTGTTTCATCTTTATTTTATTTTTCATAATAATGGTGTTCTGGATAACTTTCACACCTTGACTTGATTAATTATGTGAGATATTTATCTGATCATTTTTCATCAGCAATATTTAACTATATTCGCCTAAACTAAAACAGGTAGAAATAACATTTGAATCTGTCAAACTTCAATAATGAATTATATATGGTAGAAGATTCTTTGGGGCCATTATGCAATGATAGTGGAACATGAGAATATTTTTATGATTGGTAAAAATATCATGGGAATGGCGAAAAACTAGCTTTGATAAGAAGAATATGATGCTTTATAACATTATCAAGGGAACAAAAGTCATTTTTATATATTTGAAGAAAAGAAAGTTTTCACATTACAATAATTGGGATGCCTATAAATGTGTGGTTCAAAATGATAGTGACAAGCCACATATTATATTGAAGCATTAATTAATCATAGTAAAGAAAGTTCAATGTTATTATTAGGGGCAATTTGTGCAAAGTAGATATGACCTAAGTTGCTTGAACGCAAAGGTAATGTTATAATGTTTGTGAAAAATTGATAGATCATTAAATCATTAAACCTATTACCTATATAAGATTTAGTGCTAATTACAATCATTTCTATGTAGTGTAAGTGATGTTGGATTAGGTGGATATCAACTTATCAAAGTGGACACCAAATTTTTTAAATTGCTTTCTCTAGTGTTACACTAACTTTAATAAGTGGAAATCCTTAGACAATTGTTGAAGATATCTATCATATTTGATCAAATAAAACATAAGTTATCAATCATAGAATCAGATATATACCTTTAAATTCACGGGAGCGTTTGACTATGTTTCATTGTGAAATTTGATTTTTCTTTTCAAGTAAAAAAAGATAAATTGAAATTAGATATTGTTATCAACTTGTATACCACTAGTTCGAAAGGCATAATTTCTTAAACTGACATTCAAACTTAGCCTCCACTTACAAGTAATTACTTCAACTTTTTCATTATGTATGCATATTTAGACACCTTATAAACTCGACTCATTTCCACTATACCAGCTAAACTCTCCAACATATGTACAAA